TGATATTTGTTTTAATAAATTGAAATAAGTCAATATTGCTGTGATCAATATTGAATTTGGTTTTGATCAATGTGTTCTTGTAATTTTCTTATCGCTTATTGATTAGTCGATTAAGAAATGTCATATGACAGTTAAACATTTTTGAAAATTTAACCAATGAGCTCCAAATGGCTTTCACTTTAGTTTGGTCAGTTGGATGATTATCTTTAGTCATCGTATTACAAAATGTGATCTAAAGCCTTCCACATAAATTGTACTTGATCATTTTGTTTTGCAGAAAGAAATTGAAACAAGTCAAGTTACATTTTGCAGAGAAACACTGATTATTATCAGTATATGGGGTTTGTGAGGATTGTTGAAATTCTATTGAGATCACAAAACGATTAAAGTTAGATATCAGGAAGCACTAGAGAACTGTTTTATTATAGTATTTTTATAGTAGTGTGCGTTCACGACTTCATCAGAGATTGGATGTTGAAATTAAAGACCACTGACTTGGAATTGAGTTCTGTTAGACATGTACACTTAAGTCATTTTATATTATCAAAAACACTGATAGGCTGTACTATTACACTGAAATAAGAAATGCAAAACATATTAGAGTTTTATGTTGAAACAGCGTGGAAACCTTAAAAGGATTAATATATAATGAATAGATGGGGATGTCTTTTGAGTTACCGTAAACGTTCGGAAATTATCATTTTATTATGATAATAACTTACTAAGATAATACTACAAAAGTATAGGGTCCACTGATCAGATTGATAACAGATATCAATAAATCGGCCGTCCAGTATTTAGGTCAATTTGGACTATCTGTATTAATCAGATTACGATATGAATACTCAATAAATAACTAATTACCTATTATAGTAAAATACATATTTATGAAAACTTTGCATTGGCATTTCCGTTTCACACAGACCACTTCCTATAATCTTAATTGAGTGTTTAATAACAAGAAATCCATTTAAACCAAAGTTAAACAATCAAACCCTGGATACCGATGAAAGATATTAACAAAAGTTATTTGTAGTTAGTTTCATTGATTGTTTACTAAATAGTGACCAATGCTGTGCCTCTTTATCCCTTAGTGCTAAACGAAATTTGTTGAACAAGTCATAGTATGGCCCTTAGTCTAAGTGACTCGACATCATCTGCACTATGCTTCGATGTCAGGTGTTTGAGGTTAGTCACTAGGAGGCGCTTGACCTAGGTTTTATGCTCTTTGGGACTGTCAACAAGGCGCACCTACAATCTTGAGGGGATTGGTGGCTGATGATGATGTTTCACAGTCTGAGACGTTAGGGGTGAATAATTCAGACCTCAGAAGATATGACTGAGTAGTCTCAGTCAGTTGTAAGGATTTACTTACTCGAGGTTTTTTCTTGTATATGAATAAGCATTTAGAGGTTAGAATATTTTTATTACACGCCAGTAAGTGGGTATGCGTCAAATTAGGGGCTGATTTTAATGAAGTCGTATTTCATGTCAACACTACCCAGAAAATGAAACTGAGTCAGTGTGCGAACGAACATTTTACATGCCTTTATAGAAAGTTAGATTTTCTAATGAAATTTTTGATTCATCTTTCTTGGAAAGAAGCGTCAATCTTGATGTTTGGCTGTACGATGATATCACGAAGCAAATACATAGAAAATTGGTTTGACATGCTCTTCATTTGGTTTTACTGTGACTTTTAAATGAAATCATGTCTTATAACTTTAAATCAGTGGCCACTGAAAGATGACAACTTTATATAACTACACTTGGTAAACCGTGAATGTGTTTGTAATGTCCTCTGGATGGAATGAACAGCTTTGAAGGTAAAATAATTTATAATGTTAGAGTGAAGGGTCTGATAGGTTTTTCAATTTCCAGTAAAATTAGAATATCGGCTTCATGTATTCGATATCTAGAACAATCACTTGGCTGGCTGGTATTAGTTCACAAAACTACTGATGTTTTGGCATAGACAATTGTGAAGCTTGTTGGATTTCGTAATTTTGCATCATGAACTAATTTCAGTTAGTAAACCAGATCTTTGAGCTTTTTCGTTATTGGGTTGAAGTTCTGTTCTGTACAAAACTGCTGTTCATTATTTTCTGATTTTCTAACTGAATTCAGTCCTTGATGTGAAACTATTGATTTTTTTAAAAACTTAGTCATGTACATAAGTGTCAGAATTTATCACCTCACTTCACTCATGAACATAGCTGAAATTCCTGTTTAAAAGCTTCATTTTCTAACTGTCTGTCTCCATCTATGTTTGCTTTTATATTGCTAATTTCAATGATTCTGCATTGTCAATATTTTGAACACTACTTTTCATCGAAACACAAAGTTCTATATTGTGTTTTTTGCTTTGTTTACTTATCTATGGATTGGTAAATAACCTATCCTGTCGTTGAATCTTCTTAATGTTGTGAACTTAAACTTGTATGAAAACAACAATACACATTCTATAAGACTGTGTTGTAACATTAAAAGTTTTTTCTTTATGAGTTACCCATCAATAATTCTTTTGAAATTCAGTCAGCATTGTAAACATTATGATGAATTGTCATGACTGGAAAAATGTCGATCATTATTGTGCAACCCTGTTTGATCTCTACATTTTATTCAGTCAACATTGTCATATATACACATTTATATGATATAATTATTAATTGGAGTAGTATTGTGGGGTTTAGTGGGTGAAACAATTAGGTTTCTACAACAAGAGATTACAAGAAATTTTCGAATCACACATACTCTTTGTTTAGATGTATCAGTAATATTAGGAATTTATGTGCCTAATAGCGACCAAGTTCGAGGTAATGAAATTATCAAAGTGCTAGTGAGAAGTTATACAACCGGTAGAGTGATCACATTTTATTTGCCAGACAATAATTTAAGCCTATAACATTAAGATGGTGGTTGGAAGTGGTCAACAAGAAACCCTGGACCCGGGTTTCGTTCCACTTGGCACTCGTCAGCAAGGCGTACCTGTAATATTGAGGGAATTGGTGCTCCCTGACGGATTTGATCCCGTGTCACAGTCAGAGACGTTACCACTGAGCTATCCGGGCCGCGACCGATCTCCTGTATGTCGATAGCATTCGATCTGCACTAAGAAGGACTTGACACACATGGCATTAATCACAACCCAGTGATCAATGAATTGTGAGCTTATGAAATTAGATGACAGTCACAATGGCTCAATGCCATTGTATTTACCACGAGATAGATGACATTCATGGCTTCGATTGTGTATTATTTTAAGTACGCTGCGCATACAAGACGAAACAATTACTCACCTTTACTTAGTTTCACTTGATTCTCCAGATGATAACAATTCCTCTCTTGATAACTAACTTAAAGTATTCAACCAAAGTAGTGGCCAGTGGAGTTCAGCTACGTCGGGTGTGAGATAGTCACTCACCGCAGACAATAGATGACAGTCGCGTAATATAGTAAATCGATTGAAGTTAGGCGTAAGCACCGTTGTACGCGGGCTCAATGTTCCAAAGCCTAAGCTTTCGTACACGAGATCGAAAGTAATGTGTGCTACTCCTGACTGAAGTATTGCGAATGCCCACTGCTAAGGGTCTTATACTAGTTCGTAATGAACGTCCAGTGATTCCGGATTTTCAATGGCAGTCTAACTAAGATCAAGTCATGCAGTAAATGTTGAAAACCAATCATATATGTAAAACGTAATTTAAACACTATTCAGTTTTAAGAAATTTACATAGTTTGGTTGAAAAGCAACTAAACTTATTTGATCTAGAATATTAATACTCTCATTCTATTAATACCTCAGTCAGTACAAAACGTCCTGGAACCTTTAAAACCTTTCAAACTGTTCGAATCAGTCCATCAGAATTAAATTTAACATTTATTTTTTTAGAAAACGTTTTGGTCATAAAAATTAACGACTTGAAGTTATCGGTTTTATCAGATCAACTGTCAAAAATTTATCTAAATTTACAATCGTAATTTTATATCACTGATGGATGTTAGTCAAACAACTATCGAAAGCTAGAATGTAGCGGAGAGACTTTTCATTCTATCTTTGGACTTCTTAGGATGACAAATCCGTGATCTCTCCAGGAATCGAACCCAGAGTCCTCATGGCTCGTTGCAAGCACTTGGTTTCCAGACCACTACTGAGCAATCTTATACTAGGATAAGAAAATTGTCAAATGTTTACCGGCTTCCAGTTATTGTCTACGATGGGTCCATAGTTTAATACTATGAATGTAAATAATCTTCAAAGTTCTTTATTCTAATAAATTGGTTTTATTCAGAAAAACGAATACTTCAATCATTATAGTGGAGAAAATTTTCTATCCAATATATGGAAGCCGTGGATCATTTCAGTTACTTAGACTATCCTCAACATTTGAATGTTTAGTGAGTGTTTGTAGAGAACAGATGTATTATTGCTAGCAGTTGAATCCCAAGCGTGCGTTTGTCCTGCTAGGGACTCACTTATCATTTAGTTAAGACCTATATAGTACTTTAATAATGTTATCTATAAATCAGTTACCAATTAGAATATAGATATTATTACTACTACTGTCGTATCTCTAAACCCGGCTAATTATCATGTGATTTATTCGTCAATCGGAATACAACTTGTGCAATCTCAGCAGTGGGTCAAACTGATGACACTCGACCGATATGAGCAGTCTAGCGTCCTTATTGATCCTTTCCCCTCTTAGCCCTACCAGTTGAGTCGAGAACACTGATACCAGCTTCCACTATACAAATCGTTGTTTGCAAACATACCTAGCTTATATACAAGCAAAACGGACCCCATCACACCATAAAATAGGAAATAACATTTATACAAGATTAAGCCAAATAGTGGTTGTGAACGTGGGAGACTGTAATCAATAAACTGAGTATGATTTAAGAATAGTCAGTCGTATCATAATAGTCATTAGATCAAAATAAAGCTTATAATAAGAGGAATATAGATATACATAATCTAGTTATGGAATAGTTATACAATAAATAAATAAATATATATATATTCTTAATGATAACGGTAATGTATATATATTTATTGGTTTTTTGGATTTTCTTATTTATGTTTGGGACTACAATTGATCTGTCTCTTTAGGAGAACATGCGTCCTGTGAGATTCCCTTCTTTACTGCCCTTAAGTCATAAGGATTTGATAAACAGAAACTGATCATTTGAGTTCTTGAACATCAGTGAAAGACCCAAACAACCAATATATACGAGTTAAAAGTTACCCTTTGCACAACCCTGCAGCTATCTGAATTCATTAGCTAAGTAGACCACCTGATGGTGTTTGAAGTGAATGGTGTTGAGTTCGAGTTATGCACCAACTATGTGGTGCAAGTAAATCCAGCTGACGAGTCCCATACGGGGCGGAACGCGCTTTCTAGATCCCACTATCCATCTCAGTTTAAGTTTAACGATATAGCTTTGTAAATAAAGCCTAAAACTTTGGTGTTATTAAACTGATAACGTTTTCTTTGGTTTCGTTAAATACATTCAATCAGGCACGACGAATAGAATGTGCACGTACGGCGATAGCCCAACTTGACTGTTTTTATTTATTCATAAAATGTATAGTGTATGTGATTCAGGTTAGTAAGTGATTGCGCACAGACATTGGTATATTCTTTACTAGGACGAAGAATACTTCTTGTTATAGAACGATTATCTAACTATTAACTAATTCACTAATGGGAATATTCGACTTGTAAATTATCAATCGGCTTGGAATTAGGAATCTATATACATCAAAAACATAAAATATTCGTCATTGTATTCACGATGATAACGAAAATGTATAGAGTAAAGACTAAGATAATGAAGGTCCTGAACTCAGTTTGGTGCATTGTCATGTCCCACTGAGAATATGGTAAGAATTTTAGTTCATATTGATATTTCCATATACATAGAAATAGTTATTTCAAAATCTTTGTCAATGATATAATTATCCCCAATTTCTACTAGTTTCCGAACTGAATTATGTAAAATAACATTTGATGATGGGTGTGTCTGAATTTTAAATTCTCCGAATATAAATGAATTACTCCTTTGTATTATCATTCATTCCTATGAAACAAAAAACTCGAATTTCATATATAGTTCCCTTGATTATCATAAAGAGAGTAAGAACATTTTGTTTCGTTAGGTTCTCATCAGCTGCTTTCAAACCTATAACATTTTAATATCAAAGTGATTACAGATATTGAGATACTTATAAATATGAGGGTGATTCAAGATGAATATATGTATTATGATGTAGAGAAGATTCTAATCGAGTTAATAAGCTCATAAATCTTTTTTTCTTTCGGATAAATAAATTAAGTTTGAGAGGGAAAGTTCCCGAACACTGAAATATTGATTAGAACTCATAGAGTTAACAAGCATTAGATGATTGTGTAGTGAAACAGCTGTAAACAGATTAATGGTAATAAAGAAAGATATGAATTGAAACCAGTCAGTTATGAATTGAAGAAAAATGACAATGATGCTATCAAGCTTTGGAAAGAGTTGAAATAATCAATGACGCAATACAAAGGATGTAATGTTACCAGTAGCTAAGTGGATAACGCGATGGCGTTCGAAGCGTACGGTATGGGGTTTGAGTCCTAGAGTGAACATCAACTGTGGGATGCAGGTACATCCAGCTGACCAGTCCGAGATAGGACGAAACGCGTGTCCTGCATTCCACTACTAGCCACTACTCATATTTGCCTAAAAAGCTTGTGACTTAAGGCAATATCGGGGCAATCCGCACAGGTTGTACATATGCCAATAAGAGACTGATCAATTGCAGTCCTAAATAACAATGGGAAGATACAAATAAACAACAACAAGTGAGTTTAGAAGCTATTGAAATTTAAGTATAATCCACTCCATGTATCCTTTCGATAAATATATTTCTCCAATCGACTATTCGTATTACGCTTCATACAAAGGTCTAGAAAATGAAGCACATTGTCACGTTCATGTTCCATCGTAAACCTAATGTTTGCGTGTGTCATACTGAAAATTTTCAGTATATGAGAAGCATGTTGATAATTATTACAGTTCACAAATGCATCATCAACACACTTAAAGTAAAACGATGTGTCATTGACTACTGATTTCCCTACTGTCTGTTTTGGGTTTCTCATAAAGTAATCTGCCAGGATTGGACCCAGTGCGCTACCCATAACCGATCCATCAATTTGACGATAAAAGAAGTTATTGTTATTAACTATTGTGACTTAGTAAATACTGTGTATGTTGTAACTTTCTGAACTATTTTATGGACTATCATTATTTACATTCTCACTATATAATTATTTAATAACTGTATTTTTGTATTTCTATATCCTTGCTATTATAGGCGTTAAATGGACCCTTTGACTATTTCTGTACGTTTTACTATTCATTAATTATGGCTTATCAATTATTTACCTTTTTACTCTATTTTCTTTCATTTTTGACGTGGTTAGGCGTATATTATAATTACATATTTATGTAGATGTGAGACCAGGAAATTAACTTATATTATTGTTTGAACTGATTCACAAAAAATACACTCCTGCACTTCTTTCTACCTTCTATTACGGAACCAAAGACTAGGCTGGAAGAAAAGCAACCATTCTAGACCAATAAGAGTTAGGATTATTATCAAACTCAACTCAAGGTTAACTTCGTCAATCAGAGTGTATAAATGGTCAAATCTTAGGACGCCAGGTGATAGCCAAAATAGTGTACGCGGGGTAGATAAATTTTGAAGGATTCTAAATTGGTGAATCATATCTCATGATATTGACTGACATCTCACTCATAACACTAACACTGTTACAACAAGAAAGGAATCGATTTAAACTAAAGACTAAATCATAGCATGAGAGATACACTTAAAAACGGAATAAACAAAAAAGACTATTTAGTATTGTTTGTTTGAATCTTCCCATCGATATGTTAGGACTGCAACTGGTCAGTCTCTAATTGGCATAGTGCATACTGTGCGTATTGCCTCGATATAGCCTAAATCCACAAGCATTGTAAACAAAGATGGATAGTGGCTAGCAGTGGAATCCAGGACACGCGTTTCGTCCTATCTCGGACTGGTCAGCTGGATGTACCTGCATCCCACAGTTGATGTTCACTCTGGGACTCGAACCCAGTACCTTTGACTTCAAACGTAATCGCGTTATCCACTCCGTCACTGAGTCCTGCTAGCCACCGGTTTGTGTAATTGGGCGAAGTTTAAATTCACTTAGTATTGTTTGTTTGAATCTTCCCATTGATTTTTAGGCCTGCAACTCGTCATCTACTACCCATCTGTGCTTACAATGCTTGTGAATTTAGGCACAGTATGCACATATGCCAATTAGAGACTAACCAGTAGCAGTCCTAACAAATCGATGGGAAGATTCAAATAAACAATACTAAGTGAATTTAAACTCAGTGACAGAGTGGATAACGCGATGACGTTTGAAGTCAAAGGTACTGGGTTCGAGTCCCAGAGTGAACATCAACTGTGGGATGCAGGTACATCCAGCTGACCAGTCCGAGATGGGTCGAAACGCGTGTCCTGGATTCCACTGCTAGCCATTATCCATCTTGGCTTACAAAGAAGACTACTGTCCGAAATGACCCTTTATGAGAAAAAATAGACGAAAACAGCGGGTGAATACAATACATTTGGATCCGATTTCACAGGGCGACAATCATAAAAAACAGATTACCAGGTAGGAGTAACATGAATTTTATTAAACTCCAAAAACCAAACTTACCCAAATTGAAAAATGAAGTAAAAAGACTGTAAGCTCCTGAAGAGAATTTAAAACGCTGATTTGATTTTTGTTCTTCATTACCTTTATCAATCTGTTGTTTAAGAAAAAAAGCAAGGTGAATAAAACAGCCGACATTAAAATCTGTAACTTTGAAGATAAAAGGTTTGTGGATGAGGACTGAGATAGCTTCAGAGGTGTACAAATGACTAACGTGTAAAACACGCAGCGAATTTGACGAGAAACTGTGGATAACTTTAAAAGCTTCATTAATATCCATTTGATGGTCTGTCTTAACCAAGTGAATGAGAATAGATCTCTCGACAAACTTTAACTGTCTTTTGATTAACCCCTGTGGATAGTATTCTACAATGAGACAACTAATTTGTCTCAATGTATACCCTATTAACTAGCTCCACAAGAGTAGTCAAACTGTCAAAAGTATATCCATGCGGCGAATTGAAGTAGTCTGTCTTTGTTGGTGGTACTTATCATCCGACGGTTGTAAAAATGGCATACAGCTTGAATGCAGTAAGTGTTTCTTGTACAGCTTCTCCTAACTTTTGTGTTAGTATTCCACTGGCTGTATATTTTTAAACTGTAAATTTAAGGAAATTATCTTCTTTGGAGTAATTATTACCATCGGTTTTACTTTTGTTTCATTCTTGTGCACGCTAATGAATTTAATGAGATATCCATTTTTACTAAGATTTTTTCACAAGTAATTACTGTAATTCTTATAACTACCTTATAACTACCCTCTTTCAATCACTTAGTTATGCATTCGATAAAATTTCAATAATAACTTGTGAAATGATAACATTATTATGTAACACGACCATTCAACTAGTATTAGTTTATTGCTATAAATTAAATATATAAGTTGAAGTAGAGACATGATGAAAAACTGATTGAAAATTTATATTATCGTTATTACTGCTGAAGTGTTTTTTTCTTAATAATATAACTACAAAATAAATACGTAAATTTTCACACACACAAACGATAATCAGTGTGAATATTGGAATTCATTTCAATGAAACCTTAATGATTTGTTTCCTATCTGTGTATACATTAATCTGAGTAAACAATAGTGGCTTATATTGATGAGTCGGTTATCAGATAAATGAGATCAATATAATTTGAGGAAAAAACATGATTGTTAAAACATAAGGGCTATCCTCTGACTAATTTGATAATTTTATTGAGATCACCGACCGATTTAAGTAAGATAACTATCAAAAACTCAGAAACACTGGACAGCCATTTAGTTCTAGTACTGAACTTCTCAGTAGTGCGTATTCACGACCCGAGCCCGAGAATCGAATCCAGGAACTTCGGTGTCACGTGCGAACACGTAACTTCAAGATCATTGGGAGAGATCTACTGGTGTAGTAGTTTACCATTAATCCATTTACGATATTTGGTGACCATCTGCCAATATTATGAGTGGGTAACGGTTTCTCACTCGATATGATTAATGTTTGTACTTGTAACTAATTCTGAATGGTATTTTTTGAAGTTCTAGAGGAAAACTGTGACCACTGGAGTTCGAATATGTTAAGTATGAGGCAATTATCTAACAGTGAGATTAAAGGATGGTTGTACTATATCGCAAATTAATCGAAATTGAAGGTTGAAATTATTAGATTCCAGTTCCGTAGTTTAAATGTTAAGCGTTGGTCTTGAGACCTAAAGGATTCAGGCTCGATCGTCTATGTGGTAGTGAATGTATACTGCCCAAGCGTCCCACATAATAGCAAAAATTAGCAGTCTAGTGCTTTCAGGGATTTTAGTGGTTTTCGAACTACAATCAGTTTTTATTGTAGATTATAATACATAACACTGGTTATTGCTAAGTTTTGTAGTATGATACAGTACAGTATTGTATACATACCTTAGGTCCCAGAATACCTTTCTTATTTTTGTCATCTAATGATAAATGACTAATATAGTCTTCATCAATATAAATTTCATTGACTGGAGGAATCGGATTTTGTATTGCTGTTGTTGCCGCTGATGTTGTTGGTACTACTGATAACTGTTGTGATGGTGTATTATAAATACTCGATGTACCTTCTGGCTGTTCTAAAGAGTTACCAATTACAATTGATCTCATTGGTTGTGCTATAGTTTTAATATCTTTGTTTAAACTACCAGGATCAATCCAATAAATATTATTATCATTATCGGTAAATTCATATTCATATTGCATTAAATAATTCAGTTTACTTATTGTTGGGTTGAAATCTAACTCCAAGGAATTATTGAATGAAATATTCGTTGAATTTTTTGTGGTATTAGAATAATCTAAATGTTCATTATCTCGACCAGGTGGTGGAGTAGGTAAACTGTTGTTATCTGAAATATCACTAGATAACAGGATATTTCTTTTATCGGTAAATGTGAGAGATATAGTTGAATTATATGGTACGGTGTCATCATTAGGAGCAGCACTTGGAGTATTATTATTATCGTTAGTAGTAGTAGTAGTAGTAATAGTAATAATATTAGCATCACTAGCCATATAATCGTTATCGTCATCAGCATTTCTTTCGTGTGATCTAGATAATGAATAGCTTTCAATCCCTAGTGAATCAACCGTTTTTGAATGCGAATTGATACCATGCATCGTACCACAGACCTCTTCTTTATAAGCTGTGAGCAATGGAATTGTACGTGCATTGTTATCTTCAATAAGTTCATCTTTACAAACCACATCCAACTGACTAGTAAACTCGAATCGAGTGTCAATATTGAATGTATTGTTATTATGAATACTAAGATTATTCAGAGATTCTGCTGTTGGTTGAATTAATTTCTCCATATCGATTGAGGGATTTCCACTTGGAGGCTCGATAACACTGATACTCGTTCCATCTGTACAATATTTGTTTACATTTGAAGATAATGATTCAGCGGTAGTATTCATAAATGACTGCTCACTATTAGTCAGCTGATTATGTGGATATTGCAAATGGTCAACTTTGGCCAAAAGTAAATTTTCATCAGTTGCTTGTAGTGATTGTATGGATGAAGATCTTACTATGTGAATTATAGTTGACAAAGTATTTATGTCCTCTAATGAGCACCTTTGTAAAAGATCCTTAACCCGACAGTCAATAGAATCATTCTCTGTTTTAATGACAACTTTTTTGAAATGAGCATCGGCATCCAGGTCATTATTATTGAGACTATTAGAGCTAATTGATAATTTTTCTGTTAACCGAGTTACGTTTGTCGAATCGATTGTGGTATTCTCATTTAACGGTTCAATAACATAGAAATTCGTTCCTTCCGTATGATATATATTAACGTTTGAAGATATCGATAAAGCGGTACTATCCACAAATGGTTCCTCACTATTAGTCAGCTGATCATGTTGATCTTGCAAATGATCAACTTTGGTGGAGCTGACATCACTGGAAATATCCTCATCATTCATGTAAAACTCTCTGTTGTGACATTTAGTAGGTGTATGAAACTTATTACATGAAACTTCTACGCTTTCACTATGAAGTTGTAAAAATGTCAACGACTGACTTATTTCATCTGAAGAAACCTTTTCCTCAGTTGATAATTTGCTGATTTCAAGATCAGTGGATAGTTTTTCACTGTCATTTGACATTTCTTTAGTTAGTTGATCAAAATCATATTTCCTTTTCGATGAATTATCTATCTTATTGGTAAGCTCACTTGATAATGCTAATGTCCAATTTTGACGTGAATTATCCAACAAATAATCGTCCAAGTTTCGTGTGTTACTCAAATCTGATTTCAAGTATAATGGTTTCATATCTTCATGTGATGTTTCCGTATTTGATGAGGAGATTTGTTTCACTTGGGTCGAAGGCACTGATTGATTATTCTCTAATTGGTCACTGATGGACCCATTAGGTGAACCGATACTCAATCGTTCATCTATGCGTACATCATGTGCATGATCGGGAGTAATTAATGGATCCCTCTTTTGTTGCTTGAATAATGTTGAAGCTTGAGCGGAAGATAGTTCTGTGATGTCCTCAATAATTGGCATAGTTGTTAATTGTTCATTGAGTTGCTTTGGCAAACATACATTTTTAAATTGTAGCTGATTAGTTTGATGGTCAGTAACAACGTTAAGGTATTCAAGGTTTTCCGCATTACTGTCCAGTGACTGACTGAAACTTTTATTTAAATAATGATTATCTGCAGATGTATCAGTACTCAATGATAGTGGCAAGTGAGTTGTACATTCTAATTCCATCAGCGAGTTTGTTAAAGTTTGTATGTTGGTCATGACACAGGAATTCATATTTTGTTTAATATCTGAATTAAATGTTGAATTATTCTCACATTCTACACTAATTAATAATGAATCTTCGGAACAATTAACGTTAATGTCTATTTGTGAATCGATCTTTATTGTTTGATTTGTATTCAACGGAGTTGATTCACTAGAGTAGGGATTTTGTTGTTCTAATGTAGGGTCTGTCATAATTCCTTTGATATCTTGATTTAGTTGAAGGGGACCTATCTTTAAACTATCATTATTGTTTACTAAATGAGTACCAATAGATCGTTTACAATCAGTAACTTTCACTGTGGATAAATCATTTTCAGGTTTATTATTTAAATCATATATTTTTGTAGTAGGATGTATCTGAAGTACATCACATGTTGTAGATATTCTACAAGGTAAACTATACTCCGTCAACATACTATTATTTTGCACAATCGGCGAAATTAGTGAATTTTGTTGAAAAGTCGAAAGTTGTATAAAATCTTTACCGATTGTAGCGGATGCGTTGTTACTATTAGTATTATTATTATGTACTTTCGAAAGATAAGTTGACGAAATAGAATTCTCTTGAGGATAATTTTGTTTCAATTTCGAAATATGAGAGTGTAATGATTCATCATCATTTTTACTCTCTTCGAAAGAGGTTGAATTTGAACTAAAAGGCTCCAAATTGAAAGTACAAGACATTTGGTTTTTCATAGGACCATTTAAGTCATGAGTTACATTGTTATTATCATCATTATTAAATAATTTTAAAGCTTCATTCGTTCCAAATTTGTTTACATTACTAACTGAAGGATTTGATAGTTGATCTTTAACGAATTGTTCAGAATTACAATTTAATAATAATAATGTATCGTTTTCCATACCGGCTTTTTGGTTCAAAGGAATATTATCAGTACAAGTTAATCCATGTTCATTTGATATATTAGTTGTAGTATTGGTATTAGTATTATTATCAATAGTAGTAGTAGCATCAGTAGTTTGATTTGATTTTTCTAATTTAAATTCTTTACTCTGTTGACCATCTTTTATTTTTAACGATGACCATGGTGATAGTTTTATCTCTGCAAATTTTGATGCAGTTATTGGAGTTGTGATTGGTTGCTGTAATCGTATCTCATTTGTTTGATCACTATTATTACAATCATTATTGTTATGATTAGTGAAATAACCGAATACTGAACTCTCTGAACATGATGTATGATGTTGTTGTAGTGAATTAGTACAATCTTCAGTAGCCATTTGACTCATACTCCATAATCCGGAATCAGAGAAGTCCACTGATTGAATCGGTGTGATTTGTGAGCATTTTGACTGGTGATAAACATCATCATTGTTTGTATGTTTGACACGGTGTTCCTTCGCATCTGCATGGTTACTTAAACAACTAAGATTTAATTTATCAGTAGTTCTGTATGAACACGATGGTTGTTGTTGCTGTTGAATTTCAAGCATGTTCAGATTACTTACACTATCTCCTGAATGTTCAACTAAACTTTGTCCAACATCAGATAATGTTTTTACAGCTTTAGCTAGTTCTAATTGTGACTGTGTTCCAAATTTCTCACAAATAGAATGAGTATTTTTTTTACGTTTGAATTTAAATAGCTTTATTAACTTTTTTGATGATATACAGATATGATGTGGTTCTTTGAATATGAAATGTTTATTAGGTGACAATTTAATCTTTCTTTGACAATATTTCATTGTATGATTTGGTGTAATGACATTACTGTACTCTGAGCCATCATTTATAATACCGGTTGATTTATGAATACGATTTGATAATTTACAAGACAATATCGATTCATTTAAAAATTCACACGATTTAATTTTCGACTGTTTTTGCGGAATACACATTTGACTTGCTTTATAAATAGGATCGATTTCAACGTTATGTTTACTACGTTTTTCCAATAAATTTTCATAATGTGATGTTTCGTCAATTTGACATTTAACTCCACTATAATTGTTAATAACGTTTAATTGATTTCCAGACAAAGTTGGCCAACAAGGATCTAATCCAAATACTGTATTGTAATATTGATGTTTTCGTGTAAAACATCTTGAACTAAAGCTTCTAATACGATTAAAATTGTTCACATGTAAGTGTAGATTAGGCGTACTGTCACGAGATTGTGTGGGTGAATGTTCAAATACGGATGCTGATTGGCTTAGACGTTGTCCAATAGGATATATCGGGTCTAAAACATGTTTCATTCCGTTGATTGGTTCAATATCACTGAGATCATGCCAGCTAGCTGGTGCCGAGTCGCTTTGACCAGTACGGGTTATTCTTACAGCTAATGGTTGTCCACGTAGATCCGTGACAGACATCCATCGACTAATGTAATATTCTGTGGGTGTAAGTAGATGTCTTGATAAATCGCCATTAATTGACGGAATATATCTATCTGAAGTTTAAAAAATTAAAAAAGAAAGTCGGAATTCATTGCATATGTCAGAAAATTCTTTTTATATTAAACTTAAACTTATTAATTTTTAAAGATAGATTTTATTATGCTTTAATATCATTTGAAAAAACACTGAAAACTAGGGTGAATTGTACTAATACCAGATAAATCAGTGCTGTGTGCACACCACACCAAACATGATCGATCCTCAGGGCTTTCAGGTTACCTTACATGTGCTGTAATATTTGGCTTCTGAGTCATCATGCAATGATGCACAGTTTTCAATTTCAGCATTTATTTATATAACTGAACAGATATACAATATCAAGGAGGATAGAACTGTCTCACTCACTAAGTATTTGAACTTTATAGGTCTTAATACTAGTTTATTATACATAGACGACCATACATTTCAAAATGCCTTATTAAGTAACAAAAAAATTACTCGCTTATTCAATTTAATTTTTTCTGTAAATTTAGTTGACAATGGTGAAGTCAGACAAGATACGTCAACTGTTTAGCTGAATTTTTTAAATTACTTTTGAAATATAACCATAGCTCAGATTAGCACTAAGTATAGACAGCTGGTCTATGCTCGAAGGTCAGAATATGTACAGAAAAACAGGGTATTTCTATGATTACTTATGATCTGAAGATTATAGTACCTTCTGAAAAACATGCTAAAACCAACAATTAGTTAATTTGAAATATTCGTTAGAGATTTTAAAAATTCCAGAATGGTCGAAATATTATTTAGAGATTTTCTAGCTTCTGATGAATTCATCAAAAATTATCGAAAGGTTCCGGACAAAGTTCGGGATAAAATCATTTTTAAATGTTGCGCCATATGTTCGAACTGTAAGAGAGATTTCGACACTATCATCGCTCACATGAAACACTGTGATCTAAAAAGTAATACTAGCCAAAAGTACTTGGCTGCTGTTTTATATTCAGCGAAATTTTGAAAGCTTACTTCTCAGTCAATAATAATAGAATACATAACATCAATGTAAATAACTCAGTTGAATATAGGTTTTGTCGTTGTACGAAATATTCAGTGGTACCCCTTCAGTCATACAGAATAGAGAAACCTGGTTAGTGAAGCCGATTAACTTATTTGGATTTACTCATGACATCGCCGTCGGAGTGTGACAGTTGCTTTTGTGGAATTTTTTACCAAGTATATGTCACATGCTTGCCTTAAATAAAAAACCCAGGGACCCATAAGTTCAATGGTATACACACTAACATAAATGCTATCATAGGGAAGGAAGACTCCTCTCCCATTTCTGCACTAACGTAGGTAAAGCTGTACGATAAAATCCTGTTGGTAGACAAAATATCATTAGCATACTACCCAGTAATCAGTCAGTGTAGAATGCTAAACCAACGATTGAAATGTAGTCACAAGTGATATTGGTATTGGCGGCCTGTTTAAACATCTGGGCTACCTGTTCCCATCATCTAGATATTTCAGCAAATTATCTGATTTCGTTTGTTTTAATACATCATTACGCCTATTAATCGCACAACTTATTCAAGTGGGTTTCTGAAAAGTGTAAGACCTTTCGCTGTAAAGATTACAGAAGGCTTATTCAGAGATATCGTGGTTTCTGGCAATATGCAGCGACAAGAACGTACATTATCCAGATGTCGATTGACTGGGCTGCTAACTTCTAACCGACGATCACCCAATATTTATCGTCAGAAAGGACGAAGAAGTAAGAAACAGAAGCTTGTTGAAGTACTTTGTGCTGAGAATTCTATATTGTACCAAAAATATAATATTGAATAAAGCTAATAATAATAATAAATAATAATAATCGTTGCAACACTTCATTTTCATTAAATTAACTTCATTCTGTTGGACAAGACGATAATATCAATACTAATCAATCAAATAATTACTTCGACATTGGCAAAATAAAGAATTCTGCAACATTATTTATAAGTCATGATATTTTGTCTAGTAAGTACCATGAAAAATACTAGACTTTTCTATCTTATATATCTTATAAGATAGATATACGACCCAGAATTAGAATGCTAATTTTGTCAATCATAATAAAACTTCAAAAATTAATTATAGTCTATTCAAAACATAATAAGTGTAAATATCCGTTGAGATTACACCATTTAAGCCAATGGAATCTTTGTTTTATTGAAAGAAAAAAAAAGGAAGAGACGATTGATAGTTGTAATAATGACAGAAAAAAGAAAATCATCATTGCAATAGAACTGTAATTAATGTTCGTTTTGGTTACACAAAATCATTCTCTGAAATGATTTCATTGGTTACAATGATAATGTCAATGTATAATAAGAAACAAGATTTTTGTGATTTCATTTCTGTTAAAGTTGATATTTTTAATGAAACATTTCGTCATTATTCATTCACCGTATAATTCATCACTGTCTTAGTTCCAATAATTAAGATACTAATTTTTCACAATAATTATGCTTTAATATTTTAAATAATCAAAAATCTGAAATTAATGGATACACTACTATTAGTCAATGATTATTGACTATTCACCAAGTAATATTATTGTTGAATGAATTCGACTATTATTTAGTTATATGATTCATAGATTCAATTAATCTCTTAGAAATATTTTGGCCTATGATTTTTTAAGCAAAAAAACAGTTAGTAAAGTAAGCGATTTACCACATTGTTACTACACTAATCACATTGTCAATTTTAAGTGACTTTTGAAGCGATATTGAGATTTTGATATCTTACCTGCACCAGCCAATCAATAAGCAAATGGATAAGTCGTGATTATGCAAGACAAAAGATGGGGAAATAATGTCAAATCCAAATGAAAAGCTAAATGTAAGACAGATATTTATCTAACAGAATGACTGAAAAGGAGAAAAAATATTGAATGTGATTTCATAAACTGTGACTGATTTCCTGCCATGTTACTTAGCGTCTTCAACAGTAAATTGCAAACATCACTCACAAGTCTGTTATAAAATCTGTGCTTCCTTAGCATAGCTTCCATAAGTGATACCATGTCTTCGTTTTTGTATTCTTTTACAATGAATGCACTTAGTAGTTAATACACGGTGACTAATGTAAGTGACTAAACATCATATGAATCATGCTGTGTTAGGTGTTTCATCCTATGTTCGGCCTTCCAGACTAATGACCACGTTGCGATAACACGTGCTTTTGTCTCATAGACAGCATCAGTTCCGTAACTATTACAGGTACGCCTTACTCACGAATGCAAAGTAGTAAGAAACCTGTATGAAACAGTGTTTTCTATCAAATGCTTCCAACCACCTGATACTTGAATGATACACCCTAATATTAGTAAATACCTATCAATTCTTAACCCAATTTTACTGTAGCTTAATTTGATAAACGAAAATGAGCTATAGATTATCTCGTTTCTGTTATATTGGTATTTATTGGAAAACATTTCTGAAAATACTTTTTAAACAGATTTTATCTCATTTTATTAAATCATTATGTCACATGAAAATAGAATAATGAATGAAATTACTGAATGTTTATTTGTTTGTATTTATTTTACAATTCCAATGTCTCATATACACACTATCATATTGATTTTAAATTATTTTAACTAGATTTTGACAAACTTTAAAACAAAAACAAAAAGATTCGGTTATACGTGTAAAGCTGAGAAATACAATGTAGTAGATAATTTCTATTATTGTACTCAACAACAAATCAGATTTTACTTTGCATTCTGTTAACGTCTAGTAATCATAAACATTCCATTCTACTGATTACTGATGTTATTTGTTTAGATGTTAGGTTGGCGATGGTCAGCAGAATACCCTAATCGACCTAGATTCACTATTAATTTGCACTCGTCATTAAGATGCAATTGCAATCTTGAGTGTATTGTTTCTGTCCGTAGGATTTGAACACACAATCAACTAATCACTGAGTAGTGACTAATGTAACATTTGTGCAGTCCCTTAGCGCTGAGCAAATTCTATTAATCAAGTTGATACGTGGTCACAAGTCTGAGTAAGCAGTGTGAAATTTACGAATAAATTTTTAAAAGTGTAGCAAAATAGTGTATGAAAATTATGAGTGATTATATATACAACTGATTTTAATTTGTATCAAGCAAGCACACATTTGATATGTTATCGATCATTGACCACGTTTAATTTAAATGAAATATCTGTGGACATTTAAGTCCTTTCTAGACATTTTTAGTTTACTCAAGATAGTCAATTCGTCTGAAACTTGTTAATAGTATGAGCGTATTTAATATTACCATGAAGTTTGCAAGAGCTTTTAGCTTTTCGTTAATATTCTGGGGACTATAACTGATCAGTCACTAATTATTAAATATTCAACCTGAGCAGATTAACTTGATATTGCGGGATATTAAAAATGTTTTGGTAAAGTTGATTATTATCTAGAAGTAAAGGTCATGGATTTATTAGTGTATATGTGTGTAGTGATGAAATCCAAATGAAATCGAAACAGCTGCTCAATTGTTACAATCTACGATATGCGATTTAGATACAGATAAGTAGACTTATTAAACGCTTGGCCCAACTATCTATTCAAATGAGAAAACGAGGAAATGAGTGGGAGGCTTTAACTGGTAAATTAAATAAACTGTACACAAATCACTCATATTTACGTCTTTCTGATCCAGAGAAAAGATTGTAGGCAGAAAACTAAATCAGGTACACAATCTGTCATTTGACCTCGAGAAAGCACGTAATATGTAGAATAATACGAATTAGGCAAGGATTAGTAGATAGAGATGGATGATGAATAAATTTCTCGAAAAGGCTAGTAAGTGTAATAATAATAATAATAATAATGACAATGGTATGATTTGTGGATATATCGTAAACTTAATTTTTTACTTTTATATATAAATGTTCTTAACAAGTATATTATATGTGATCAGTTTGTTCAAAATGTATTGAGCTAATATATCATCATATAACTGTGATAATCTTCGTCTTCTTATTACACTATTGGAATTAATGAT